ATTCCATCCTACTCTGCCTTTGATTGTGTCTGGGGCTGATGATAGGCAGGTGAAATTGTGGCGAATGAACGGTACTTAAACCAAGAACATGTGCTCTCCATAGAGTTTAATTTTAGTTTGTGCTTTTCAAATTTGAGAGTCCATCTAGTTATCCTGCCTGATAATGATTTATTTTAACAATACAAGTTGTATGTAGACAGTAGGAAAGTCATCCCATCATCTCTTTATCCCCTGAGTGTTTAAGTTGACCAAGAGATAGGTTACAAGCCATAAGGAGTGGCTTGGACAAGTTTGGAAATTCAATGAGAAGTGAGTACTTTATTGAATCTAAATTTATTTAAGTACACATTTTAAGTGTAGGATTAACGGGAAACATTTTTTCATATGTTCTTCTTGGTGTGGTGTACCCCCCGGGAGAAAATGTTAGTAACCCTTATCAATGCAATATCTGGCATCAAATAATATAAATATTGGCTTTTAAGGCTGACTCTGTCATTTACCTTTCAGATACAAAAGCATGGGAAGTGGACACACTAAGGGGGCACATGAATAATGTATCATGTGTAATGTTCCATGCAAAACAGGACATTATTGTATCCAATTCAGAGGATAAAAGTATTCGTGTTTGGGACGCGACGAAGCGGACTGGACTTCAGACATTCCGCCGTGAGCATGACCGGTTCTGGATACTTTCTGCTCATCCTGAGATGAATCTACTGGCAGCTGGTCATGACAGTGGCATGATTGTTTTTAAGTTGGAGAGGGAAAGACCTGCCTTTGCTATTAGTGGTGATTCTCTATTTTATGTGAAGGACCGCTTTCTACGCTTCTATGAGTTTTCCACTCAAAAAGATTCACAGGTCATACCGATTCGAAGACCTGGTACCACTAGCTTGAATCAGAGCCCAAGGACCCTTTCTTTTAGCCCTACAGAAAATACTGTCCTTATTTGCTCAGATCTGGATGGGGGATGTTATGAATTTTACACCATTCCTAAGGATAGCATTGGTAGAGGTGATAGCTTCCAAGATGCAAAGAGAGGACTTGGAGGATCAGCAGTGTTTGTGGCTCGGAATAGATTTGCTGTGCTTGATAAAAGTCACAACCAAGTCTTACTAAAGAATCTTAAGAATGAAGTTGTTAAAAAGGTCCCCATTCCCATTACTGCAGATGCAATATTTTATGCTGGAACTGGTAATTTATTGTGTCGAGCAGAGGATAAAGTTGTTATATACGATCTTCAGCAGAGAATTATTCTTGGTGATCTTCAAACCCCTTTTATTAAGTATGTTGTTTGGTCCAATGACATGGAGAGTGTTGCCTTGCTTAGCAAACATGCAATTATTATTGCTAACAAGAAGCTTGTTCACCAGTGCACCCTTCATGAGACAATTCGCGTAAAGAGTGGAGCATGGGATGATAATGGTGTTTTTATTTACACGACCCTAAACCACATAAAGTATTGCCTCCCCAATGGAGATAGTGGTATAATCAGAACCCTTGATGTTCCAATCTATCTTACGAAGGTTTCTGGCAATACTCTTTTTTGCTTGGATAGGGATGGAACAGTTCGACCTTTTGTTATTGATGCAACAGAATACATATTCAAACTCTCTCTCTTGAAGAAGCGATTTGACCATGTCATGAGCATGATAAGGAGCTCACAGCTCTGTGGGCAAGCTATGATTGCGTATTTGCAACAAAAGGGGTTTCCTGAGGTTGCACTTCACTTTGTGAAGGATGAGAGAACCAGGTTCAATTTAGCTCTTGAGAGTGGAAACATTCAGATAGCAGTTGCTTCTGCTACAGCAATTGATGAGAAAGATCATTGGTACAGGCTGGGTGTGGAGGCTCTCCGTCAAGGTAATGCAGGCATTGTGGAATATGCCTACCAGAAAACAAAAAATTTTGAGAGGTTATCATTCCTTTATCTCATAACTGGTAACACAGCAAAACTGTCCAAGATGTTAAAAATAGCTGAAGTTAAGAATGACGTCATGGGTCAGTTTCATAATGCTCTATATCTTGGTGATGTCCTTGAGCGGGTGAAGATCTTGGAGAATGTTGGCCACTTACCTCTTGCATATATCACAGCGTCAACCCATGGTTTACATGATATAGCTGAAAGGCTAGCTGCTGAATTGGGAGACGACATTCCATCTTTACCAGAAGGCAAAACTGCATCCCTCCTCTTGCCTCCTACTCCAGTCATGTGTGGTGTTGATTGGCCACTTTTGAGAGTCATGAAAGGTATATTTGAAGGTGGGCTGGATCATGCGGGCGGCGGGCGTGCTGACGAAGATGATGATGAGGTTGCAGAAGGTGATTGGGGCGAGGAGCTGGATGTGGTTGGTGTGGAGGGCTTACAGAATGGGGATGTTGCAACAATTTTGGATGATGGAGAAGTGGGAGAAGAAAATGACGAAGAAGGGGGATGGGGCCTTGAAGATCTGGAGCTCCCACCTGAAGCTGAGACTCCAAAAGTATCAGTCAGCACTCGCAATTCAGTTTTTGTGGCCCCGACTCCTGGCCTGGCTGCCAGTCAGATTTGGATCCAGCGGTCATCTCTTGCTGCAGAGCATGCTGCGGCTGGTAATTTTGATACTGCAATGAGATTGCTTAATAGGCAACTAGGAATTAGAAACTTTGCTCCTTTGAGAACCATATTTCTGGATCTTCATGCTGGAAGTCAGACCTTTCTTCGTGCTTTTTCATCTGCTCCGATAATATCATTGGCAGTAGAACGAGGATTCAATGAATCTGGTAATGCAAATGCAAAAGGATCCCCTGCTCTTATTTACAGTTTCACTCAGTTGGAAGAGAAGCTTAAAGCTGGTTATAAGGCTACAACATCTGGGAAGTTTGCTGAGGCTCTTCGTCTTTTTCTTAGTATTCTTCATACCATCCCTCTGATTGTTGTTGAGTCAAGGAGGGAAGTCGACGAGGTGAAGGAGCTAATTATTATTGTTAAAGAGTACGTTTTGGGTTTGCAAATGGAACTGAAGAGGAGGGAACTCAAGGACGATCCAGTACGTCAGATGGAGCTTGCAGCCTATTTTACTCACTGCAACCTTCAGTTGCCACATTTGAGGCTTGCTCTATTAAATGCCATGACTGTCTGCTACAAGGCCAAGAACCTTGCCAGCGCGGCAAATTTCGCCCGGCGACTTCTAGAGACTAATCCTTCAATTGAGAATCAAGCTAAGACAGCCAGGCAAGTGCTGCAGGCTGCAGAAAGGAATATGACAGATGCATCCGTACTGAACTATGATTTTAGAAACCCTTTTGTGACCTGTGGTGCAACTTACGTGCCAATTTATCGGGGTCAGAAGGATGTTTCTTGCCCATACTGTAGTTCCAGGTTTGTGCTAAGTCAGGAAGGCCAACTTTGTACTGTTTGTGATCTTGCTGTGGTTGGAGCAGATGCGTCTGGTTTACTTTGCTCTCTCACCCAGAATCGATGATCAGACTTGTGGGAATTATATCTTTTTCCAATGACCTCACTTGTCTTCCTGACTGCAGGAGCTTTTGTTGTTGAGAGTATTCACGTGTACTTGTGGAAGGTAAAAGAAAGTGATGGAGTAATCAGCTACCTTGAAAGAATTTCGGTTGTCTGCTACTTAAAATTTCTTCTCGTTTCTTTTTGTTTAGTCGATTGTGATATCACTGTAATAAAGTTTCTAAGAATTTTGAATTAGGCTATTCATGTTAGGTATGGATGAGATAAAATACAAGAGGGCTTTATATGAATTGATTGTTACAGGGATGACATCTCTTACATGTTAATGTTGGGAGGACCCTCGCGCCGATTTCTGTTATCTGTTATGCGTCGATGTTTTTGATGCTTGGTAAAAGATGAACATTTTTGTGAGCTTCCATTTGCTTATTTGTTCTCTAGTACCTTTTTTCTTCCTTTTTTTGAAAATGAGTCTGGGACTTCTTAGTTCTTACCTCTATGGGCTGGTTACTGGTGACTAAGGTGGATGAAAAATAAATGGATTTAGAAATGATGAGTTCAAACTTTGTGACTAGCTTCTTTGACACTAAACTATTAGGATTAGATGATTGGTTTGAGAGTTTTGTTGTGATGCATGCAAGCTGGTTTGAATACTTCGAATATGATAAAAAGAATTAAGAGACTTCGGATTATAGAGTTCGAAGAGAAGTGTGCTTACGAGGATGGTGGATTGGTCATGGTCATGAGATTTCGTGTGCAATTAAAATTACTTGACTTGATCATTATATCTCATGTTCGTATGTAATTGTTAAAATTATTAAATTTACTTAAACTTTGCATCTTTACAATTTAATTACTAGTATTCTCAAATAATGTGGGACAACTATATTATCATAATTCTATCTAAATACTTGTCACCCTGGAGCTTTTTAGGAATATAATGGTGGAAATTTGAACATTCAACTTATTAAAAATATTATTTTAGAGTATCATTCCAAACAACTCAAACATGATTTTTACAAATTGATGAGATAGCAAATGTGAAGTCACAAGAAAAAAATAAGACAAAACTTCTCTCCTGAAGATTCAATTCATGCGTTGTGATCGGAGCTTCAAGAGGGAAGTTTTTTCCAAAAAAATATCCCATTGAAATAAGCCACGATACTTTTCCAACCAAAAGATAGGTTACAACCCCCATAAGCAAAACCATTGTCTTTTAAGGTGAGTTTGGCAGATGGAGTTTTGATATTTTGCACATGCAAAGGGTGACTTCTTCTAATAGATCACCAATTGCTTCAACTTCTTAAACTCGAGAACTCCAAAATTCATATCACAATTTCAATATCATCATGAGAAGACTTCCATGAGATGGTAACATATTTACCAACCCGATATCATCTCTTGCAAGTGGAGTGGGGACAATAACCGATGTTGACAAAAAAAAAAAAAAGGCTACCTTCCAAAATGGATTAATTTAATAATCATTAAAACAATGCTCAGGGAATTTGTCATTATCATGTTGACGTTTAGCATCACAAAAAGATTGAGACAACACATCAGAAACGCATCTTTCGCCATCAACGTTTGACATTTACAATAGGAGGTTTTTTCATATGGCATCAAGTTCAGTAGGTGAGCCAACCACAATTCACATACACAGATATGCAGATTTCTTTCTTACAACAGCGTGAACTAAACCATGCATATATGATAAGTAAGCTGCTTTTTCAAGTTTCTAAACCAACACAAAGCAAAGGGTTCATTCTACTTTTAGAGAGACATTCTAAGCTTGAAATGGCAGTTCATAACTTTCTGCCATACAGTGATAATGTTGCATTATATACAGGAAATATGGCAGTGTGTTCATATAAACTAGGCAGTATGAACTGCGGCGACTGTCGACACCATGGAATTGACTCCACAGATGTTGCGGCCCTTGCAGATTTTGTAGTATCCATTCTCACCCCAGTTTTCTCCCCAGGAGTTCTTAATGATCCAGTAGGGCTTCTCTTTTAGGCGGATGGGAGCATAGCCAGCAGATCCATAGCCGACCAACAGGACTCCATGATCCAAATGCTTTGAGCAAATGTAAGGGCAAGAAACCCCTCCTATATAAGTCTGCATGAATACGGCATTGATGGCAACTGCATTCAAGGTAAATTGAGCCAGTCAGCAACTATAGTAGAGGCTTAATAGAGGGGAATGTTATAACTCTACCTACAGACAGAGGGATTCAAGAAAGTAAGTGGTTGAATTGAAGGTATTTACTTGCGAGAGGGCCATTTTTCACGAGATTGGCAGCAATTTGTTCTTCATCAAGGGAGACAACACTAAAGTTGGCCACTGATGCAGCAATTTTGGACTTTTCAAATTTGCAGGTTCCACGATCTGTACCAGTGTATGGGTAATCTTTCTCTCTCATAAGTCCCCCAGCTTTTAGTGTGTACTCAAAAGCACTATTCATTAACCCCCCATTGCAGCCAGCATCACAGGAATTTTTTTCTTCTGGATCACACTGGCAAAAGTATAGAAGTGCGTTGATTTGCAAGTAAATAAAAAGAAAAACCTTCTTTAATGAAGCCTCAGAGTAGATAATACAAAGATGAGCATGAATATCCTTCACAACTACAAAGGAAATTTGTGAAGAAAATTAAGGATATTCATTTAAGTGCATATCTTTAATGTTTAGATGGATAAGAAGTCAAGAATGCAAAATATGTATATATGACTTTACTGATATAATTAATGAACATTAAGCAACACCAAGATATCTTCACTTCGAATTACATACATAGAAACAATTGATAATCTTAGACATTATGCAACATCACATATAGAATAAACCTTCCAAAACTTCAAATAAATCATTCATCTCTTGCACCAAAGAGTAAATTATCTATCGAGTACTTCAAGCAACCTGCAAGGCCAGACCTTGCACTTGAATCCTTTACTGGCCTGCAAATTTGCTAGTACAGGTCTTCTATTGCAGCTACGACTAGACAGACGCAAATATTTACCATCAACCTAAGCGGAAATCATAGAGCAAAAAAGGTATTTTGCTTTCTAAAATTCTGGAATCAGGTGCAAAAATAGGTTCGAATGAATGACACCCTATAAAAACTATAGACGATCATTACCTAGACGAAAAGTCCGCAAAATTCACTTAAAGAACAGAAAATCAAAGACAAATGAAAGTAGAAACCCAACCTCGTGATCACAGTCAACAAGCTGTTGTTCGCTAAGGCTAACAAGTTTGCCGGTAGCAAGGAAGTTGGCGCCTTCAAGAGCACCGGTTGTACTGAAACTCCAGCACGATCCACACGAACCCTTATAAAACAAATTAATCACAACGATCAAGACCTCGGTTTAATAAATAAAACTTACCTTTGCTTCTAAAATAATTAATTGGAAGTTATCATCATCGTAAAGAATGACAGATACAGAGAATGAATAACAAGTTACAACCATTGACAAAATAGCTTTATTTAACACTAAGATATTATAGAAACGAAAGAGAATCGAGAAACCCCCAAATCAAAGATTAAAGTATAAGAAATTGTAAAAGGAAATTCAGAGAGATAGAGAGAGAGAGATAACCTGATTCTTAACTTCCGTGACAGCTCCATGATCTCTCCAATCGAAATCGGTTGGGAGATCATCAATAGGAAGAATAGGAGCCTTGTTAGCATCGGCAGGAAGGCCAAGACGGGGCCCTCGAAGCCCTAGAAACGATTTTCGGAACTCCGATGGAGTCAAATCAGAAAACTGAGTGACGCCATGAGTAGCAGAGGGATCAAGGGCCTGGTGGCGCTGTGCTCGCCGCAGATTAGCTCTGAATACCCTGAACCTGTGATCATGCTCCTCCTGGGAGGCATACGACTTCCCAAACTTGCGCTTGAAGAGCGAAAAATGGTGCTCGGCTCCGAGGAGGAGATCGTCCCCGTTACTTCCCTCGTTGACTCCTCCGTCATCCACGACCTGCCGGATTAAATTGTCGCCCTCCGATTCGACGGAGAGGACCTCACCGCCGATCGCCGAGACGGCGAGGATTGAGAGAACAACGAAGAAAGAAAAATAGCTAACCATTTTAACCAAAAAAAAATGTAGAGATGGAGAAGAAGAAAAAAGCTGTGAAAAATACTCTCAGGGGAGGCCTTTTTATGCTGATGCTCGTTCAGGCGAGCTGTACTAATATGTAGACGGTTACATTTTAACCAAATTAGTATTTCGATCTTAGTCGTTGTTTTCCAATCCCAGCGGGCCCCACGGAGAAACGGACGGTGGGGATTCGGGGAATCGTTTTCTGACGTCATAGGATATAACTACCCGCTTTATCTGTGTTTTGCTTGAAGAAAGGGTAAACGTGAAGCCCAATGACGAAACGGCACGTGGAGGATTATGATTGGGCCTTCTTAAAGCGAGTATTGGCATTTTTGATTGGGTAATTTTGAGTTTGGTTGTTCGGTCCGGCCCAGTAGGGGATTTGGGCTTGGTCTCACTCTGGTCCTTGTTGGGCTTTTTGTCAATCAAGGCCTTAGTCGCCGATTTGGTATTTTGTTTCAAATCAAAATTGCAAATATACGTAGTTTAAAATAATTTTTTAGTTAATATATAAATTTGGTCAATCTTTATATTCTAAAATTTTTAGTTATTATAGTTTGAGCTTACTTGTTTTAACTTTATTTTTTTATTACTATATTGATGAAAAATCAATATTATACAATAATTATGATATTAATTATCTGTCGACACATTTACATATCTATCAATATTTTCATGTATCTATAAATTCGACAATGACCTGAGTTTTTATTATTATATTGATGAAAAATCAATATTATGCGGTAATTATGATATTAAATATCTGCCGACACGTTTACATATCTATCAACATTTTCATGTATCTATAAATTCGACAATAACCTGAGTGATAAATAGACATTTCAATTTTATTGCAAAAAAGATTAACAAAATATAAAAAAATATCAACAAATTGCTAATTATATATAATATTAATGTTAATTATTTCAAACTTATTTAGAAATAGAAAAATATTTATTTGTTAATTTAAATTACGATTTCTTAAGTTTTCAATATTTACATAACATTTTATCGATATTTAATTGAAATTTCGCTATTTCGATTGAAATTGAAAACTTTACCACGATGAACTATAAACATTTGGATGAAAATATTGATGGATGATGGGCTCCAACCAATTAAAATCGAACTAGAAAATATTAACCTAAAAGAAAAAGAAAAACTAGAAAATATTCATGGATGATGAGCCCCAACCAATTAAAACCTTAGATTCTTCTTAAATTAACAAAATCATAATTGTCTATAAATTAACAAAATTCCACCATTTTAAAAAAATTACGACGCTGGCCTGACACTCCACTGAGGCCAGATCCAGGAGAAGACTGCAAAAGCCCTCGTTCATCGTCATTTCTCTCTCTTCTCTTCTTTCCATTTCTCTCTCTATCGATTGAGCTTTTGCTGCTGCTGCTGCTGCTCGTGGATGCAGTCGTCGGCCTTCTTACGTATTGATCAGATCTGAGGTGAGTATTTAATAGGTCCTTGTTACATTCTATAGTTGAAAACTATTTGGATCATCCCCAATTCGCAAGATTAGGTTTTGCTCCGTCCGGAATTTGGGTCTGTTTGTTTACTGAGGAGCTAGTGTAAATTGTTACTTGGAAGCTTAATCTCCGAAATTTCAGTCCTACATAGCTCAATTTTGTTTTTGTTCGTTAGCTGGAAATTGTGTGGACTGACTCGTAATAAATTGTTTTAAGTGAATTTATATGATCAATTGGAAGTGCTTGGCACTTGGATGTTATGGAAATTCACTATGGGTATTGATGCTATCTGATTATGTATCTACAGAGTTCATCATTTGAAGATGTTGACGAAGTTCGAGACCAAGAGTAATAGAGTTAAAGGACTGAGTTTCCACACTAAGAGACCATGGATCCTTGCTAGTCTACACAGCGGAGTGATCCAACTATGGGATTATCGGATGGGCACGCTAATTGATAGATTTGACGAGCATGAGGGACCTGTTCGCGGGGTTCACTTTCACAAGTCTCAGCCTCTATTTGTATCTGGAGGTTCCATATTTATCTTTCACTTTGCTAGATAACTCTTAACTAAAATGTTAGTGCTATAGCCATAATTGCATATTTTGTTGATACTTTTGTGTACTATGTCAAGTCCTTCCGGGCAGATGTTATCTGGACAGGTATATATTGGTGCTCTAGACCTCATCTATCATTTTAAATTTTTCTCTGGCTAAATCAAAGTCAAATATCAAACTTTGTTTCCTTGCCTTGTTGCTGAAAGATTTTTTTCTTCTCTTCTGGATAGAGTAATCCTCATGAATTTGAAAAGAATAATTGGCCTAAAGTAAATTTTGCACAGGGATTATGGATGGCCGATATTTAAATTTGGATTTCGCAGCCCCATAAGTTAAGAATTGGACTAATGGAATGAAAATAACAGTTTGATCATGTTTTTTTTAATCAATGGATAATTTATTTATGTCAGACCTGCATGTCAAGGAAAGGGGATTCAATGTTGTGCACCATCAATTGACATAATAGTGCCTTAATTTTCAAGTTTGGTATGTTAAAATGGTTTTCATTTTTATTTTTCCAGGTGATGATTACAAGATCAAAGTATGGAACCATAAGACTCATAGATGTCTGTTTACTCTTCTTGGACATCTTGATTACATCCGTACAGTGCAATTTCACCATGAGTATCCGTGGATTGTGAGTGCTAGTGATGATCAGACCATTCGTATATGGAACTGGCAGTCGCGTACTTGCATCTCTGTGTTGACTGGCCATAACCACTATGTTATGTGCGCTTCTTTCCACCCCAAGGAAGATCTTGTTGTGTCAGCTTCTCTTGATCAGACAGTACGGGTTTGGGACATTGGTGCATTGAGGAAGAAGACAGTGTCCCCAGCTGATGATGTGCTGCGGTTGAGTCAGATGAATTCTGATCTCTTTGGCGGTGTTGATGTTGTTGTTAAATATGTTTTGGAAGGTCATGACCGAGGAGTTAACTGGGCAGCGTTCCATCCTACCCTGCCTTTAATTGTGTCTGGGGCTGACGATCGTCAAGTGAAATTATGGCGAATGAATGGTAATAATAAAATGCTTTCTTTCCATGATTTAATAACTACAGCTAATATTTATTGGATTTGGGAGGGACCTTAATTTGTCCTGCCTGATGTTAGCAAGACTTCAGCAATATTACTATTGTTCTGATTAGTCATCTTATCAGCTTTTTGATCTGTAGTGTCAATGACGTCGCTAGGTGGTTGGTTTCAACTTGGTTAGTTAGAGAAACTACCTGAAAGAATTTTCTTAATAAGATCATAGGGAGTGACAATAGTTTTCAGTTTCATTCAAGTGGATTGAATAAGGCTCAGAAATTCTTTGAATATTTTAATGAATGTGAAGACTTAAAATTTATTAATTGTTAGTAAATGTTTCACACGTTCTTCTGGTAGATTCCCCCCTCACAAATACATGCACACACTCAGAACGAGAGAGAAGGAAATGAAATGAAATGTTAACTGAACATTTGCTATATATATATTTTCCATTTCTTTTGGATTTTGAAGGTAGTTGCTTATCTTAATTTTCAGACACGAAGGCATGGGAAGTGGACACACTAAGGGGGCACATGAATAATGTATCATGTGTAATGTTCCATGCAAAACAGGACATTATTGTATCCAATTCAGAGGATAAAAGTATACGTGTTTGGGATGCAACGAAGCGGACTGGACTTCAGACATTCCGCCGTGAGCATGACAGGTTCTGGATACTTGCTGCTCATCCTGAGATGAATCTATTGGCAGCTGGTCACGACAGTGGCATGATTGTTTTTAAGTTGGAAAGGGAAAGACCTGCCTTTGCTATTAGTGGTGATTCTCTATTTTATGTAAAGGATCGCTTTCTGCGCTTCTATGAGTTTTCTACTCAAAAAGACACCCAAGTTACCCCAATTCGAAGGCCTGGTTCCACTAGCTTGAATCATAGTCCAAGGACTCTTTCTTTTAGCCCCACAGAAAATGCTATTCTTATTTGCTCAGATCTGGATGGGGGATGCTACGAATTGTACACAGTTCCTAAAGATAGCTTTGGTAGAGGCGACAATGTGCAAGATGCCAAGAGAGGAGTTGGAGTATCAGCAGTATTTGTGGCTAGGAATAGGTTTTCTGTGCTTGATAAAAACAACAACCAAGTCTTACTAAAAAATCTAAGGAACGAGGTTGTTAAAAAGACTCCCCTTCCCATCACCACTGATGCAATATTTTATGCTGGAACTGGCAACTTATTGTGTAGAGCAGAGGACAAAGTGGTTATATACGATCTTCAGCAGAGAATTGTTCTTGGTGATCTGCAAACCCCTTTTGTGAAATATGTTATATGGTCCAATGACATGGAGAGCGTTGCCTTGATTAGTAAACATGCAATTATTATTGCTAACAAGAAGCTTGAACACCAGTGCACTCTTCATGAGACAATTCGTGTAAAGAGTGGAGGATGGGATGATAACGGTGTCTTTATTTATACAACTTTAAACCACATAAAATACTGCCTTCCGAATGGAGATAGTGGTATAATCAGAACCCTTGATGTTCCAATATATATCACAAAGGTTTTTGGCAACACGCTCTTTTGCTTGGATAGGGATGGAATAAACCAGCGTTTCATTATTGATGCAACGGAGTACATGTTCAAACTATCTCTCTTAAGAAAGAGATACGACCATGTCATGAGCATGATAAGGAATTCACAGCTCTGTGGGCAAGCAATGATTGCGTACCTGCAACAGAAGGGGTTTCCTGAGGTTGCACTTCACTTTGTAAAAGATGAGAGAACCAGGTTCAATTTGGCTCTTGAGAGTGGAAATATTCAAATAGCAGTTGCCTCTGCTACAGCAATTGATGAGAAAGATCATTGGTACAGACTTGGGGTGGAGGCTCTTCGTCAAGGTAATGCAGGCATTGTGGAATATGCCTACCAGAAGACAAAAAATTTTGAGAGGTTATCGTTCCTTTATCTCATGACTGGTAACATGGCAAAACTATCGAAGATGTTAAAAATTGCTGAAGTTAAGAATGATGTCATGGGCCAATTTCATAATGCTCTATATCTTGGTGATGTCCAGGAGCGCGTGAAGATCTTGGAGAATGCTGGCCACTTACCTCTTGCCTATGTTACAGCATCAATCCATGGTCTACATGACGTAGCTGAAAGGTTAGCTGCCGAATTGGGAGATGATGTTCCATCTTTACCAGAAGGAAAATCAGCATCTCTATTATTGCCCCCTACTCCTGTCATGTGTGCTGGTGACTGGCCACTTCTGAGAGTCATGAAGGGGATATTTGAAGGTGGGCTGGATAATGCGGGTGGCGGTCCTGCAGATGATGATGATGAGGTTGCAGATGGTGATTGGGGTGAGGAGCTGGATGTGGTTGATGTTGATGGCTTACAAAATGGGGATGTCCCAGTAAGTTTGGAGGATGGAGAAGTTGCAGAAGAAAATGAGGAAGAAGGGGGATGGGACCTTGAGGATTTGGAGCTCCCACCTGAAGCTGACACACCAAAAGTATCAGTCAGTGCTCGTAATTCAGTTTTTGTGGCCCCAACTCCTGGTCTTCCTGCCAACCAGACTTGGATCCAGCGGTCATCTCTCGCAGCGGAACATGTTTCTGTTGGTAATTTTGATACTGCAATGCGGTTGCTTAACAGGCAGCTTGGAATTAAAAACTTCACTCCTTTGAAACCCATGTTTCTGGATCTGCATGCTGGAAGTCAGACGTACCTTCGTGCTCTTTCATCTGTTCCCATAATATCATTGCCAGTAGAACGAGGATACAGCGAATCTGGTAATGGAAATGCAAAAGGATCCCCTGCACTTATTTTTAGTTTCACTCAGCTGGAAGAGAAGCTTAAAGCTGGTTATAAGGCTACGACATCTGGGAAGTTTGCTGAGGCTCTTCGTCTCTTTCTTGGTATTCTTCATACCATCCCTCTGATTGTCGTTGAGTCAAGGAGGGAAGTTGATGAGGTTAAGGAGTTAATTATCATCGTCAAAGAGTATGTTCTGGGTTCGCAAATGGAACTTAAGAGGAGGGAACTCAAGGACAATCCAGCCCGTCAGATGGAGCTTGCAGCCTATTTTACCCACTGTAACCTTCAGATGCCACACTTGAGGCTTGCTTTATTAAATGCTATGACGGTCTGCTTCAAGGCGAAGAACCTTGCCAGTGCAGCAAACTTTGCCAGGAGGCTTTTAGAGACAAATCCCCCAGAGAACCAAGCAAAGACTGCCAGGCAAGTTCTGCAGGCTGCAGAGAGGAATATGACAGATTCATATGAACTGAATTATGATTTTAGAAACCCTTTTGTAACCTGTGGAGCAACTTACGTGCCAATCTATCGAGGACAGAAGGACGTATCTTGCCCGTATTGTAGTTCCAGGTTTGTGCCAAGCCAGGTCGGACAACTTTGTACTGTTTGTGATCTTGCTGTTGTTGGGGCAGATGCGTCAGGTATACTTTGTTCTCCCACCCAGATTCGATAAGCAGGCAGTCACAGTTCAGCTGGATCTTTTCTCGAATGCCTCAACTTACCCTTCTAGCTACAGAGCCAGAAGCTTCTCTCGTTGAGTTCTTGTGAAAGGTAAACCAGAAGCATAAAGCTACATTGGAAAAAAAAACTGTGCTGTCTGCTACTTAAATTTCTTCTGCTTATTTTTGTTCTTTAGTTGATTGTGATATTCACTGTAATAAAGTTTTCAGAATTTTGACGTAGGTACATGCTAGGTTGTGATAGGCAAGAATACTAGAGTCCCTTTTTGGATTAGATGATTGTTACAGCCTTACAGATTATTAGGGACATCTTAAATGTTAATGTATGCAGGACCCCTCGGGTCAATTTCGATATTTCACGAAACTGTGGTGTTTTACTCGGTGTAAAAAAGTAGCATATCGGTCGAGTCCAAATGGAGTGACTAGTTTTGGCCACTGGTTTTGACTCTACCAAAATAGTATAGTTGAAATCGTCGAAAACATGTTAGATCGTGTTGATGAATTACCTGGATTTGGGAGGTCCATTTCCAGTTTTTTGGTCTTCCTCAATTCAAGACTGGTTTGAGTTTACAACGAAGTCAGGTTTGTAGCTTAATGGCAATTATTATCGCATCTCCTTTTGTGATCTACACTTCACATTTTCAGAACATCGCCAATGAATGAGGGTTGCGAGATTGAAGAATGTCGAAATGAGTGTTACACAAAAGTTTAATTAAACAAAATACCCTTCTCAACTCTAGGGTCTTTGATAAAGGTTCAATTCTGTCCTTAATTTAAAACTACCTTTATGTAACTTTTTCGATAAAAAAAAGGAAAATGTGACATGGTAGTGAGTCGTCAAAATAAAGATACATGTTTGCGTGGATGGTTTGAATTATGCTCTTGAACTTTGGGTCAGTTTCAATTATACCTTTATAGTTTGTAAAGTCTAAGTTTTTTCATTAAAATGAAGATGAAAATATGATAAAATATTGTTCCTCTCATCGTCAAAAGATTTATGAGGTGGCGTGACGATAATAAAATTTTTACTTTCGAAGATGAGTACCATCTCCCTCTATCATTGCTTTCTACTAACTCATACTTCCACAATTTTTTCTTTTGGGAACACATTCATCTTGCAAACCTTTCTCTCTGGAACTGGGTCTCTTTCGACTTTACAATATGTGGCTTCTTCTTTTGAAGGACAATTTTGACTAAAACTCAACCCCCAAAGCTAATTCCCTCAACAATCAGTACCATTTTGAATATGACTATAATCTTTCAATTGCCATTTGAATATGACTATAATCTTTCAATTGCCATTTATGTCTTTGTATAACTTCTATTTTACAACTCATCATTTTTCATCTTTATTTTAATGTGGAACTTAGTGGAATGGTTGTTTTGAAACAATTTTAAGATCTAAAAGGTTAAAATGAAATTTTTTAACTTATCCCAAAGTTTAAGGATATAATTGAAACTACTTATGTCCTCGTATCCTTCACCTTTTACGACTCACTTTTTTTTTTTTTATATATATTAATATAAGCTACATCACATCTCTGTTTTCTTCTTAACATAAAGTTGATGAATAGAACTAGGAGCGGGTATCTTTTGGTATCTGTACACTAAAATTTGTTATGCATGACAATCTTTTTATTTGAAAATTTGAACATAGGTATTCTTGAGATAATACCTTATGGTATTTGAACACTTTCATTTTTCGATTTCGATTAATCTTAGGACAATTGAAAATTTTATATATTTTGAAGGTAAATTTAATTTTAAAATTTGTAGATTAAATTGAAATAAAACATACTTGAGGAATAAATGGATATATTTAACCTAATACTTATAAAATATTAATTATATTGATAGATCAATAATTCAACAACTATCCGAGAGGATAAAAATGGTGACCTTTATCCAAATTTCACATCGGATTTGATTAAATGAAATTTTACCACAAAAATTCACCACATTAATCAAATTGAGGGAGGAAAAATTGAGTTTTAAAATATTTAAATACTATTTTGCTTCCTATATTTTTTCTACAGTTGATTTTACTATTTTAGTATATATATTTTTAATTTTTATTATTTTAATTATGGTACCTTAAAATGTCTATTTTGATATTTTTAATATTTAAAAAAATGGTCATTTTAGTTTCTATTCGCAAAATGTTAATACAAATTTATAACTACATTTCAAAAAGTTTAATAAATAAAATGTCAGACTAAAATTTTGATAGAAATAAATGAGATAAAAATTAAAATAAGACTAAAATAATTATTTTTAGTACAGAGATACCAAAACCAACGTCTTGGATAAAACGAACAAAATGTAGGAATTTAAATGTAAGTCTTAAAAGGATAATTACTGTACTGATCAAAATAATATTTTAAATCCATTTAAAATATACGGACAAAAAGGAAATAAGTGACGGTGCATTTAAATAATATCCACCACGTGGCTTTCCACGTATTTTTTCAGTAAATAAAAAGAAGAAAAAAGAAATTGTACAAGTCAAACCTGTCACCCAATAACGCCATTGACGACAATTTCATTTCCTGAGTGGCGGTTGCCGTTGCCGTTGCCCGAACAGTCCGACGGAGCTCCGATGATTTCGTCACCTGAAATTCAGTAAACAATATAAGCAATTCAGTATTGTTCGGGTCTGGATCTGCCACACATCAGCCGTCCAGTCATCGGGAAAATTGACGAATCAAGCTGATTTGATTGATCTTCGATGGCGGACTCGTAGAAAGCTTCGTGACAATGGCGGAGCAGAGGACCGAGGATGGTAGCTCAACGAAGGAAGGAGGAGAGGTGGAGAAGGAGAAGGAGAAACAAAAGGAAAATGTGGATCCGGAGCTTTTCTGCTGCTTGCTCCAACCTGTGAGTATTGGCGTTGATCCGGACTATGTTGGAATTCGTCGTCTCCTACTCTATCGGAAGGCTGAAGCCGGGGTTCTTCGTCGTAAAGTAAGCTTTCCTCTGCAACTATTTTCGTAGTTTTTTCTGCTTATGTTTCTTTCCTGTTGGTTTTTTAGTTAATTGCCAAATTCGTAATCGTTTAAATGAGAAATTCGGATAAGGAGCGTAATTTGAGTAGATTTGGAGGGCAATGCATTCTGAGTTACATTTAGGGCTTCGTGGTTCTATGTTCCCTTGATACTAGTTGCGCTTGGAACGAACGAGAGCAGTCAACATCAGTTGATAATCCGTATCTCTGTCCTGAACTTGATATGGCTAAATAATGTGCTAGCTTCCGTTCTGGATTGGCTCCCAATCTTCTAATATCTGAGTTTCGAGTAACGGGTTGGACCTCTGGGATTTCAGTGAAATATGGAGTTAGAGGTTTTGAGTCCTCATGATAGTCACGAACTACTGCGAACATTGAATTCTTACTGGGGGGATTCTGACTTTAGATTGATGATCTGGTAAAGTTTTCCTTGTTTGTGGTATAGATCTTTCGTATGTGTTGCCTGGATCAGAAAACGACAGCAATAAGCTTAAAATCAAATTCCTCCATATTGTGGATTGGAGACCAGATGTATTTTCGACATGTATAACTGCTTCAGAAAATTTCTGTGATTCAACTTTAAAAGGACATCAGAAGGAGGGAAATGTTTGAGCGTCAGTGAGTATTAGTTTTTTCTTCTGGTGCTTTAGGTTTCAACGACTTTACTTCAGAAAGAAGACACATTATAAGGGCTCGAATACAATACTATATGAACCATTTTAGGTTATCTGTTTTGGAGAGAAATTTTAAGTTACTTCTAGTTTTGTTAAATTGTTGCCTCTATTCTCTTTGGATGCACATAGCCGATTTACTTCAGTAATTTCTGATGGTTCAATTCATTTATGTATCTTTTCCTAAGAATAACGTTAGGTTTCTTCTATTGGTGTTTGCCAAAGGACTGGAGGTGCAATGAAAAAGGTTATGTAGCCTTCCGAAATTTCATTCGTCGGCCAAGGAATTGGGAAAGCTCGCATGTACCAAGTCTTCAAAGCACTCCTGGAAACAGGTTGCTAAAATTTTATTTGATGACTTTAAAATGTCTAATTCATAGCTTGATACATTTTTCTCATGTTTTCCCTTTACTTTTTGAAAATCTTTCTTTTATCTCAGATGCAAGAATTTATTATGAACTTGAATGACAAAACCTCCTATTTAATGAGTTACTTTTTAAGTTACATTCCGCATAATTCTGACATCAGGATAATTTACTGGTTCATGCATCAGTGGAAGATGGGCTCCTCCTCCAAGTGCGCTTGCTCTCTTGCATGAGGTGGAGAGCTGGAGTTCTACCAAGGTATATCTGAATTCTGTGATATTCTTTGTATTCTTTTTTATGGCGATTATTAAATATGCGAGTAAGGATGGGGGTGGTTGCAAAAGAGAGTGAGAAAGTGTTAGGCCCCAGGTAGTGAGAACGTACGTTAGGAGGGGCAAAAGGGGAATGTTAGGGGTGTAAGGAATGTAGGCCAGGGAATGTAGGCCATACGGCCATGAGAGAGAAGATTGTCAGTAGTAGATATAAGGGAGGTAGGTTGTTAGGGAGAATTATCTTTTGGGTATTACGGTTTGGCTTGTTAGCTAAGGAAGGAGAGTTTCCCCACCCTCTCGAATTGGTGGGTTGTCTACGGTATCGCCGGAGGGCTTTTTCTTTTGTTGAAAGTAATCAAATAGTGAGGAGATATCTCACAGAAAGTTGCCAACCTAGATATAGCTTAACTTGTTAAGGCAGTATCTTCGACTATTAGTTGTGTTGTGCTAAAAAAAAAAAGGAGAGTGAGAAAGTTTGCATCAATATAAAGTGACAAAATTTAAAAGAGATATCGGTGGTGGGGCTTGAATGAAAGGTTTGTTATTTCATTAATCACAAAATTACGTCTACAGTCAGTATACCTTGTCTTACATTTATTTGCTATGTTGTAGAATACTGGGATTAGCTTAAAATAACCATTCAACCTTTTACCTACGCTAAAACTAATACGACTCACTAAACCTACTATCTATCCCAATTGACTAGTTCGAACTAATTAATAAAAGAAATAAAAGAGTTAGATACTTACAATCAAATCCATCCAAGTTTTCATTGAAATTGCTTATTTTCAAAATAAATAAAAAATAAAATAATGAAATGATTCATCCATCAATTAGATGAATCGATAATGGAACTACCTCAATTATGCATGAGTAATCTCTTATTCTTTTTTTATTTTTTTTTATTTTTAAGAAACTTGAGAAATAAAATAAACAAAAGAAAAGGGGTAGAGGGGCACCCCTTCCCAAAAGACTGACAAAAGAGCCTCCCACTTTTGGAGAATCGAGGAGAGGAAGCAGTTACAAAAGAATTTGCAATACATGTAGCACCACCTCGAGATAGTAAGTTGTACATTACCCCACAAAAGAGAAAAACCAAAAGACGTATTTTCAAACATTCTGCGATTTCTTTTGAACCAAATATTCCACAAGACCGCCACCGCTTCAAAATTCCAAAGGAGTACTCTCAAGGTGAACTCCCACAAAAATCCCAATAACTATATGATAAACTAATCCCAAGAAGTAAATAAAGAGGGAAGGAGAACTTATTTCTATCTCGAAGATTTCATTAAGCTTCTTGGATGAATAGGTGCCTTGTCCAATGGATGCAACTCTTCATCAAGTGTGAACCCTAGTTTGGAAATGGTTCTTCAATGCTTCTTGAAGTCTTTTAGCTCTTGTGATTGGACCTTGTGGCATAATGATTGGCTCATGATTAGATTGAATTTAAGTTCAGCCCGTTGACTTTGAGCATAAGCTCATTTGAGCTGGTTAAGCTTGATTTTCATGTTGTAGACTTCCTTCGTGTTCTTCTTGATCACTTATTTCCTTATCATGTATGACTATTTCAAAGAGGGAATTTCCAGTCCTTAGGTTTTGTCATATAGGCTGCAATTGTTAGTTTTCCATGTGTTATAATTCATGTAGGTTTTTCAATGATTTAAGTAGTTAAATCAAATTAACTTCTCTGAGCGTTGAACAAGAACAACTGTAAGTTTAAATCTGTGTGCACCTGCATCGTGCTTTTGCCTTATCATTATTATAATATATTGCCTTTATTCAGGACTTACAGAGCCACCGAAGATCAAGTTTTAGCTCAAGTGCAAGTGATAATGGTCAGCTACATACTCGTAGAGTTGAGCTTGCATATTCTTTTGTAGGAATGCATTGTATATTTGATCAATGCAATGCCTCTGGTAAACTTTCATTTGACGAACAAATCTGAACTGATCAAATTTCAGATTAAATTATTGTTTAACGCAGAATAAAGTGGTTTATATGAGAAATCTAATTGTCAATTCTGCAGTAATGGTTTTGAAGTTTGGGCACATGAGCTCTGATCTATTAGCATATGGGGCATCAGATGGATCCTTGACCGTATGCAATGTCTCTGAACCATCTTCAACCGTCAAGCATTTGCTGGGCCATTCAAAAGATGTCACAGGTTGGACTGGCTGGTATTGCTTTGTTGTCTTTTACACTGTCTCTTCTCCCGGTCACGACTTCAAGGATTGCTAATTGTTAAAATGAATAGATAGTTTTCTCTCCAATTTTTTTTCTCCAGGATCCATTTTGTTCTCGTTTGCTTCTGTCTGGGTCATTCTTTTTTGTAGGCCCCTCTGTTCTACTTTTTTCGTCTTGATTCCACGGTGTTTTTTTGCATATACATCCATTTCACATTTTTATTTATTACTTCTGATTCAGTCTTAGAACCTCAGGACGTTATATCGTTATTTTTTTATGAAAAAAGGATGTTGTATCATTTAACATAATCAAAATAAAGTTCATATGTTAATTTGATGAAATACTAGGGAATGTTTTATGATGGAAAAGATCCCATTGCTCTCTCTCTCTCTCTATTCTTTTTATTTTTGAATTGTGATGGTGAAATTATAGACCATTTATGAGGAGCTAAGATACCTTCCTTTTCTAGTTACTATGGTCTTTCCTAAAGATGTCAATTTCTATATTGGAATGTTTTTTTCTTTTTCCCTTCAATTTTTTCAATATTTTAGGTTTAGTGATTGGAAGGGAGCTGAAAGAACTTATGATGGAGAATTTTAAGACATCGAAAATTCCTGGATTAGGATCAGAATGTTTACCTTTTCAACATTGGAAAATGGGACTTAAATTTAGAAAGATGAAGTTCAAAGGGTAAGCCAAAACCAGCTGAAACCAATCAAAATCTTGTGATGGCCGTTTCTTCTCTTTGGGAGCTTGAAAATTATGTGTATCGACTTGCTTTATCTGTTGGTGGGGTGGATCGGAATTTTTTCTGGTAGGTAGGAAACAAGGTTTTCAGTAATAATTTAAGAGATATAAGAGGGGAGATAAAGTATCCTTCCAACTGAAACCAACTAAGTCCGGTTGGCGTGATCTATATTCCTAGTTAGTGCAAAAATAGCTTCAAGAGTTTTCATTATAAGCATCAGATTTGATATTAAATTTGTCTCTTTAATATGTTATTACAGCGGTGGATTAAGCAAAAGTATTTTATTATTGTCCAGTTCCACGAGCAAAATTCTAACATACTGGTGTTTCTCCAGACTTTGATTTTTCATCAAATAATCAGTACATTGCATCATCATCCATGGATAAAACCGTTAGAGTATGGGAGATATCAAAAGGAGTTTGCATTAGAGTAATCTATGGAGTATCTTCACAATTGTGTATACGTTTCCATCCGGTAAGTATGAACCAATATCACTAGTGTTGCAAATTATTATTATTATTATTTTTTTATATGAGAAACCGAACTTTTCATTGATCTAATGAAAACAAAATACAGGTCAGTGAGGACTCACTCACTCACCTACTCCCCCATAAAGAGACATTAAACCTTACGAGGTCCCAAACATAATCTCACTCTCTCTCCACCCCCCCTAAAGATTCTATTGTTTCTTTCCAACCAAATCCCCCACAAGATCTCAAAAAACCCAGCTTGCCAAAGGAACCAACTTTTTTCGCAGAAAGGAGAATACAAAAGCACTTCCTCCATCATAGACCCCCACTCTCTATGATGAGCCCAAGAAATCTAAAAAATCTCAAAGAAACGACCCCAAATGTTTTGGGGGAAGTGGCAATTAGTGGTTTTATTGATCCGGTAGTTATATCATATCCATAAAATAGATTAGGTGGGTTTTGATTGTTTGTGGATTTATTTTAATATATAAATCATCCTATTTTTCATCTAATGAATCTTTCAGTTAATCTTGGTAAGGTACACATTAATGTGCCTAACGTACATCAATGAGCCTCAGAGTGTTCATATTTTGGTGCTTATAAAATTTTCCATCCCCACCCTTCTTTTTATTTATTTATAAGAAGGCAAAGTTTCATTAACACAAAAACCAGAGAGTGACGAGAGGGATCTCCAACAGGTTAAAAGGATACTAAGAAAGTAATTACAAAAATCTGTAGATTTGAGAGTCAAAAGGAGCTCAATAGACTTCTCGTCTTTGAAAACTCTCATGTTTCTCTCTAATCAAACTATCCACAACATTCCCACCCTCTTAAACTGGCCAAAAAGAAGGAAAAAAAAAAGAAGTTATAAGTTAAACACTATCCCGCTTAAGGTGAAAGATTGTGCTTCATTATTTTAGTGATAGATATAACAAAGTAATATCCCAAAAAGATCATCAGAGGTTGACCAAAATTTAGCAATCTACCAATTGACTATTGGAATCTAATAAGTCCGAAATTCCTGTGGTGGATTTCCAGAAAGGCAAGAAATAGGACTGAAGTTGAAATTCGTGGAAGCACTGACCAAAGTAAGAAAACTTGTATGCCCTTGTTCTGGCAGAGCTTAAATCCCTTCTCTTTCATTAAATCTCTAGTTCAAATAGTTTCATCATCTAGCTCCAAAGTGCCACTAGGAAGGCCGAAGGTTCATGGGGGTTCACTGTTGCAATTTCAATTTATGAGACCATGGTACCATTAGTCAATTCTTCTTAGTTCATACCAGAGGTTCCTCCAAAGCTAGATTCTGATGAGACTTGCCAATGTGTCAGAAGCTACTAAAGGGTAAAATTATAACTTTTGTGGGACTCTAGGAACTGGATGCTATACTATCCAAAATTTAAATTCGAATCTTGCCTCATAAGCCATGGTCTTGGGTTTGATGCATTGCTATCAATAGATATTCTAAACCCTTTGGATCACAATCACTTGTTTCATCTTTTGTGGGTGTCTCCGCGAGGATTAGTGCCAACTTTTCTTGTTAATCCTTCTGGTCTTCTTTGCTAGAGGGGTTGGAATCTACCATTTTTTAGCTCTTAGTACTTTTGGAAAGCTAAACACCTAAGAAGATTTAGTTCATCTATGGTTCTCTCAACCAGAGTAAATTCAATACTTGTGAAAGACTTCAAAAGAACCTGAGCATTGCCCTTTCTCCCTACAAGCATGCCATCTGCTACAAGGATGTTGAAAGTTAGAAGCATCATTTTTGGATAGTCAGTATACGCCTCCAGTCTGTCGTCTGGCCCTTTTCAGAAACTCCAAATTATTAAGTGCAGGCTGTCCTGGTGAAGAGCTTACCCGAAAAATCAGAGTTATTTTACAAATATTGGAAAAATGTGCAAGTTATCTTGAGAACCTGAGATATTTGGAAGACCAAGAAATGGCAACAAGAAATACCCTGGCTATGATAGGAGATGCAAACTCCTTCTCTGTCAAGCTAGTAGCTGTAATGCTCGAAAACTAACATTGGCTCCTTATATTCGAGGATGTATCTCAGCGATTGACAGTCCTGGAAGAAGAAAATCAATGAGCTGCAATGCTCAATTCAGAATCTTCCCCATCAAATTTCCAGCCAAAATACCACTGATTATTGAGGATGAATGCAGTCTGGATCTGATTCAGAAGAGAAAAAAAGTCTACACAAGGGGGACTTAGCCTTTATATTTATAGGCCAAGCTTTGGGTTATTGGGAAAAGTTAAAATAATGCCAAAAATCAAATTTAAAAGTAAAAATAGAGTTACTATACATTCACCAAAAAGAGTTAAAACAAATACAAATTAATTTACAAGAAGTACCCCAGCATACCTACATCATGTCCTCTTATCCCACATGCTCTTGAGATTTTCTTAATTAAGTTGACTTTTGGTTTTCGTTCCTAAATTGAGTTATTCGGCTATGGGATTTTTTTTATTTATTTTTTATTTTTATAAGAATAGGCTATGGGATTTTGTAGTCGTTCTTCTTTGTTATTAATAATAGAAATTGGAGAGAGCTTTTTGTAATAGTCGTGACTTGAGTGACTGGGATGATAATTGTCTTTCTTGTGGTCTTTCTTTTATAGATATTTATGTTTCATTGTGGCTAGTGCCCAATTGTATAGATGCGTACCCAACCAAGGCAGTCTGTTGGGAAATGTGTTTTGGGAGGAACATTTCTTGTTGGACGCTCTTGACATTTTCTTAATTAAGTTGACTTTTGGTTCCTAAATTGAGTTATTCGGCTATGGGATATTTTATTTTTATTATTTATTTTTATAAGAATAGGCTATGGGATTTTGTAGTCGTTCTTCTTTGTTATTAATAATATAAATTGGAGAGAGCTTTTTGTAATAGTCGTGACTTGAGTGACTGGGATGATATCTTGTCTTTCTTGTGGTCTTTCTTTTATAGATATTTATGTTTCATTATGTCTATTGCCCATACACATAATGTACGTATGTGTATATATATTATATTCTGAAATCTAACTGAACGTTCTCCTTTTCCTTTCATTGTTATGGTGTAGGTAAATAACAACTTCCTCTCAGTTGGCAATGCAAATAAGGAAATCACGGTAAGCAGAATGTAAATTTGCTTACAACAGCTCGAGAGAGAAAAAAATGGTGATATTTTTTTAGTCATGATTGTCCTGAAAATATAATTTAATTGAAAAGTAATACGTCTTTATCTCTCTTCCTCTCCTTTCAGAATATAGTTTTAGTGGAAATTGAACCTTCTCTCTCACGCACACATGGATTAGACATAGTCAGTGTAGCGTGAATACATAGTGGAGGATCGTTCTCTATTCCGTGTCATGATTGTTCTGAGAATAAAATTTAATTGGAAACTAATGTCTCTCATGTGCATATAGATGATAGACCCCAGGAGGGGTCTCATACACATGGGGAAATGTAGTCAATGTGACACTCGTAGGGGGATTGTGATTTACTCGCACATGGGGGACCTAACATTGACAATGTGATGCTTGCGTGCATGCATGCAGAGAGGAGGATCATATTCGTATGTGAATGTAATTCCTGACATACAGAGATTGGGGATCATACGTAGGCAAGTCAATGCATGCTTGCAGTACGTGGGAACACCTGTAAAAACTGACTTCTAAAAACATAAGATCACGTTCCTTGAGATTTCTTGCATTTTGTATTGAGCCGTGAGTATGATTCCCTCTCTGTATCATTGCTCGAGGGGAAAAAGTGTGACGCTTGGATATAAAGTCTTTTATCTGTTTAAATTTCTCTGACACCTGATTCTTTTTTTCTTTTTTGGAGTTGTCTGATTATCTATTTATGACCTGATTTGCAAAAAAGTTCGTCAGAATTTGCTCATTACTGATAATTATATCTTTTCCAAGATATGTCCGGCTGATTTTGATGAATATTTTAGGTGTTTAATTTCAGCACTGGGAGGGTTGTTACAAAAACAGTTCTTGATGGCGAGGTAACCTCCATGGACCATGATCACACTGGCCAGCTCCTTTTCTGTGGGGACGCTCATGTATGTAATTGGCGCATTTATATATGAACTTTCTTCTTTGAAAACCACATGTTCGCTTGCGAAGATTGACTATTGAGATTGCATGTATAGGGATATGTTTACTCTGTGAGCATGAACTCTCATACAGGAGCATTATCACGTTCTCACCGCCAGTGGTGTAGTAGTCGGCGTAAATCTCCTGTATCTACTGTACAATATCGAAGCTTCTCTCTGCTGGCCAGGGGCCCTGTATTGCTAACTTGCACTCAAGATGGGAACTTGTCTTTCTTCAGGTCTTGTCAGCAGAAAATGGCTTTCATTTTTTTCTTTCATATCTTTACCACTTATAAGGTTTTATGTTTGATGCTCTAGTGTTGCTTTGGAAGTTCAAGGATATTTGACCCTCCGCTGCTCACTCAAATTAGCTCCAAGGATACATAGCATCCGTGCTTCTTTCTGTCCTCTACTCTCCCTTGAAAAAGGAGAGTACATAGGTAAGGACTATCAAATTTAACGTTCCATCTTAAAATGGCAATTTTTTGAATCTAAATCCTAAATCCTTCGCTCAATCATTCTGCAGGATTTTGTATCTAGCAAATGTTTGCTACTACAAAATCACTCTAAATCAACTATGTTGCTCGTGGGAAGGAACTATGGAATACCTAGAATCTATGGCTAACCATGAAGAACAAGTCAATTGATTAGCAACATTAAATATCAATTTACTTAAAAAATTATCAAGTGGTGAAATTTGAAACAATCGTAATGCTCGTACAGGCAGATACATGTATTTACAAACCCATCACATGACATTTAAATCATGAATATTTTAAAAACCCTGGACTCTGCATACAAATTTCCTATCTAATGTTCTATGTTCGTTCGACAACATCATTGATTTCTGAATTTGGATCTTTTTTACGGATTGAAGTTGCAGGAAGTGAGGATTCAAATGTCTATTTCTATGATCTGACACGACCTAAACACACCTGTGTCAACAAGCTACAGGTTCATGTTTTCTTCATGCTCTCTCCATGGTAAAACTATATAGTTGACAGTTTGTTGTCGACTGATCGGGCACACATGTTACTGCAGGGCCATCGGTTTCCAGTCATAGCAGTTGCGTGGAACCATGGGGAGAATTTGTTGGCTTCCTCGGATTTTCATGGGACGGTAATTGTATGGAAGAGATCAAAGATGAGTTAGAATATATGTGTGAATAGATTTTCTAAATGGTTCTGTTGATTAGTGAATAACATCATTCTCCCTTTACTCCCATTTTTTTGCCAGTCTTTTATCAACTACAGATCATCATCAGCATATCATAGAAAGTGTTCTATTTCTTTTTAGCCCATTAGTTTTAGAAAGGGAAGTGACGATATTCTGATTCCACCTCTCTGTAATTACAGTGTAATGTAACTAATATCATCATGTTGAAGTTTTGAAGTGAGTAAATAAAATGCTATTGATATACAATACAATGTTACTCTTTGGCCTTGATTAACTAATGTTATGTGAGTGAGATAGAATATAATGAAAATCAATTGAATAAAAGGTTGTGGAGCCTCATAGAGAAATTCTAACATTGTGTTTACTAAAATTTTGGAAGTAAATCATTGAAGGATATTAAGATTGATTTGATTTAGGATTCATCAAGGGGGAAATTCGATTATTCCAAAATCTGAACCAACCCAACTCAAATATTTTATAGTTGGTCGGTCCCTCTAGAGCAATTTTCCTATAGGAGAGGAGTAACTGGTCCAAAAGGGATCAATGCAAGAAGACTGAGTTTTATCCTCTTTTTTACTATCCACATTTCTACAAGCAATTGATGATATGAAAGTCCCAGATGAGTTCAGTTTTGAACTGTCACTGCTTCATGAAATATCAACTGAACAAACTCTTTAACAGTTGGAAAAAAAAAGTAGAAGCAGATTTTTATTCATATTTACCATGTGATATAAGATTATTATCACCAACAAGCAGAAGAAAATGAAAACTCTTAAAAAAGCCTAAACCTACCTCTAGTATCTACCAACCATAAATAAGTCTTGCAATCTGTTGATGTAGCTCTCTGTTTCTTATCAACCCCACTTCTCCTAGAAACTAAGTACAAGGGATGTCAAATTATTCAATATTGGTTTTGTACTCTACCTTGTTTGCTATGTACTCAAAGCCATGAATCTGTCTACTTTAAGAATTCTGTTTGGCGACCGGTGCACAAACGACTTCAGCAGACAGTTTTTTCCTCACATTTGGACATGGATCTTCTCCAAAAATGCTGGTTGGTACAGTCGCCAAGCATCTCCGTCGACCGACACATAGCTGGAAAGGATAGTATAAGTTAAGTACTTGGTATTGCATTTTGAATTTTTGATTCTGACCATTGAAGATCAATCAATAAAGTCGAATTTTGAAAACGTTGGTGATATAATGATGTTAACTCAGGTTACCTTCTGCAACACAGACTGTGAATTTGGAGAGTGACAGGTCCCCTGCCCAAGACTTCCACAAGATCCGATTGGAGTTCCAAAGCTTGCAAATTTGATAGCTGAAATGGACTGCCCAGCTGCACAGTGCAGGTTGATCTTAACCACGTTCTGCTGATTCAATTCTCCATGGTTTTGATTCACATGCCAGCTCTTAATGACGGGACGAAACTCAGATGCCTCGGCACAAATACTGGTGACCGACCTCTTTACAAGATTAATTCTTGAAGGGTTCCCATCAATCTCCTCAAAAACGACTATCAAATTTTTCGATGGCATCAACCAAGACCGAGGAACATGGTACCTGAAACATCAAGATGTCGAATGAAATCAGAAAATAAAATGCAGAACTATAGTATCCATGAATGGTAGAAGTAAAGAACTTGCCATTGTTGAGTCGGACGACCACAACCAGATTGGCATTTCTTCGGGCGGTATGTGCCCGCATAGCTGCAATCAGTGCAGTTTCCATTAGCATTGGTAGTCCAGTATCGTCCGATACTCTGCCCGTTTATCCATACTTGACCTTTCTGCATACTACTCATGTCTAAAGCCAACGGTTCATCTCCCTTCGGGGCATCGAAATACGCCTGCAAGTCGAAGCAAAAAATTTTCAACAATGGTGCTCACTCGTTCACCAATCTGATCCATGAAGAGACTTTTACACTTTATATAAGAATGAAGAATTCTGGTGCTGAAGAACCAATGCAGTAAAGCTTGAATACATCACCTTATACCAAGTAAGCGGCTGCACTGATGAACCTCGCACCCAATTGACTGCGGGAATAGAACTTGGAGAACTCAGGTTTTTGGCATCTCCTACCATACCAACCTGTCAAAAAGGAAAAAACATGAGCAAGGGAGGCTAATGGAATGCAGAAACAAATAAATGTGGTTGAGTTTGTAGACCTTATATGACCATTTCTGCCCAGATAAGTCCATCTTTCCCTTGTTAAGTCCATGTATAGTAACTGGTCCAAGCACTCCCATTTCTCTCATCTCAAAATGAGGACCATTGTTCTTCATCCACCAAAAAACAAGGAAAAATGAAAAGGGAAAAACAGTCAAACGAGAGCTGGGACTTCACAAGATTGAGATGAGAGTGAGAGTTGCATAAAGAAAATGAACTGTTTGTTTCAAGTCCGATTTCAGTCTTTTGTTTATGCAGTTTACTGATATAGTGAATAGTAAGTCATAGTTCATATTATCAGGAACTAGAAAACTAACTGGCAGCCCGACGGCCATGCTTAACAGAGAGATTCGGTTTACTCCAGCTTGCAATTGGATGCTCCCAGTGAACGTAAATTTACTGTTTTCGTGAGTCCCGTAGCTCGATCCTACCATTAAATAAAAGTAGCACCTACTTAGAAGCAGCTTGGCCAATCTCGAGAGGCATATGCAGAAGCATAGATGTTGTGGAAGAAGGTATTGATTCGATGACGTACCTGCTAGCTTTCCATTGATGAAAACATGCATAGCATGACCGGTTGACACCACGGTGAGGATAGGGAGCTGCCCTCCATGGAGGAAGGATTCATTTGAAGCAACATCAACACTGGAAATTTTCATGGAATAAGTACGTTTTCATAATGTCAGCTCAGTTCAAGTATTATAATCTAAGACACCATATTACCTAGTTGTGTACCAAAGATAGTCACTGGTGTCTCTGGTGATGTTTAATTGCTCCAAGAGACCATTGTATGACATCAATGGATCATCTTCAATCAAAGATATGTTTTCAGTAAACGACTCCCACGACGACAACTCAGCATTTGCAGGCAGAAACGACATCTGGTTCTTTTGAACTTCAACCTGGAACATGAAAATAAGCTGAGTTTTGTGGTCAACTAATTGAACTACTTAAGAATCCATTTTACTTACGTGGGCAGTATTGTATATGACATTGTTGCAATCAGGAAGAATGCTAATGGACCAAGGTGGAAGAATGTAATGTCTGCCATTGAATGTCACCCTGGCAGCTGATCTCGGGTGATAGTTCGATAGAAAAGCAGCACAATCTCCCGAGCTAGAATTGAATACCTTTGCCTAGTTAATCAATGAAAAATCTGTTTCTTGTTTAGTTCGTTATGGTCAAGGCAATAACATTTACAGTAGATGAACTTATGCATATAACGTTATTAGAGGAGACAACAAACCGCATGATAAGTTCCCAATGTCAAGTTATAAGGTACAGCGGTGAGCAATGCTTTTTCACACAACTTAACGGTGCCATGGAGTCGTTTTAAGTGGCCGAATTTCGGTTGCCTGATCAAGCCTATCAAGATAGCCAAAAGTTACATCTTAGCACTTGAGAAGAAGAGAAAAATTCAGAAGTTATCACATCTCTAAATTGCTCACCATATTCATCAATGGGAGCATCATAGTCATAGCTGGTAGTAATGAAAGGACCACCAGCAGTTCTTCCAAAATTGGTGCCACCATGATACTGAAACCACCACAAAATTACTCTCTGTACCCTTCTTTTCAGTCCTAAACCAAAAAATTTAGCAAAAAAAATGAAACTTGGACTGACCATGTAATAGTTGACTAAGGAACCTCCCTTCTGTATGAACCTGGCAACAGCAAATGCCAAATCTTCAACTGGCCTCTGATTAATTGGCCCACCAAACGATGTAAACCTATACATATTGCAAAACAACAAAAAGGGTAAAAAAGTTGAATCTTCTTTCGTAAAAAAATGGGTAAAAGATAAGAATGTTTGGTGAATATAGAGGTTTTACCATGCAGTCCAAGCCTCAGTCCAGAAGGTGGGTTTGTAAGGCTTGTTTGGGGAAAAATAGTCACAATAGAATCCATTGCATGTGTTAATCTTCACCAAGAAAACCATGTTAATTAATGAATAAAATTGTATTGGAAAACAAGAAAAGAAAATGGAAATGTTACTAACCACAGGATCTGGAGCATCAGATTCCTTGCACATCACCCAGGGCACCCCAGTGTCCATTTTGACAGCCATTTTTGCAGCCCAGTTCATGTAAGCATAACCAGCAGCTCCAAATTCCCTCGCTTCTGGCTCATATTCATTCTCAATCTGCACATTTTTTACATTTTAAATAGCCCTATGCAACGAGTGACTTTCGAGCCTAAAAAATTGTTGGGATTTGATTCTTTATTTCTAAAGAAGAAAAATGTATTGCAAAGAAACAAGATGTATTGCATTGATCCAACCACTAAGAATTCAAGTACGATAAAACAATTTTTTTATTTGCGTTTTGGAACAAATTGAAAATGGAAACAAGAAAGGAGAAACTAGTTTTGGTCATTTTCAAAATTTCTATACAATTACGAGAATGATCCCAAAAAAGAGAAAACAAGAAACAAAGTTAGTTTGATTGAAAAATACTTAGATGAGTCCTAAAAGCCCACATTTATGTTTTTTGTTTCTCGATACCTGAGAAGGAAAAAACAAGAAATAAGAAACAAATTAAAATGGGAACATGTACCTGAGAAAGGATAATGGGTCCTCCTTGAGACTGGAATAGCTTCTCATCCTTCATCATTTGGACTATTTTTTGAGTGAATTTTTCCATTGCTAACTGCAGCAATACTATATGTTATGTGTCTACATAGCAAATAATATAATATATACAACATTCAAAATAGTTATTTTTAAAGTAAATGGACTAAAACAAACTTTTTAAATGTAAGTAAAAAAGTCCACTTGGTTACAATTTTTGTTCTGATTTTATTTCCATTGCTTTGTATTTTTTTTCTTCCAAAAATATTTTTAAGGTGTTGGCTACTTCGAAAAAATGATTTCAAATTCAGCTAAGATTTTGTTAGTATTTTTAACAAGTGTTATTCAAAAGTTAAATATAAACATGAAAAAATAAATTGTATGAATAGATTTTTTTTTATTTTTAATTTGACACACGTTTTTTAGGAAATAAAGTGTTATTCAGTGCCACTTCCCATTTGAAATAATTTTTAAATTAAAATACTATTTTAGTCCAACCAATTAAC